ACAGAAATCTTAAAAAGGAAGACAACAAGGTTATACAGAAATTGTTAAAAATCACCTGACTGAATTATAGACAAAAATTAAACAACTGGAATATATTCCTCCATATTTCTAAAACCGTGTTCTTTTTGCTTTAATCCGTTTTATAAGAATATTTAAAATAACTGCCTAACATATATTATTAAAGCGACATATCTTAATGGAATCCGCAGCAGCTGTTATCTGGTGTATACATGAGATTAGTTCTATTCGGAGCTTGCACGACAGAAGATTAAATGCTTCACTACATCGTAAGACAAACAAAAATCTCTCCCTTTCATGTACTGAACAAAAATTACAGGATAGCTAAGAGCAAACATGAAATTGCCATCTTTTATTTGAGAAATTTATGAAGCTCAATGCCTTTACAGGTTAAATATATCAATAGGTATAAAGTCAAGCAACTCCTGGTCTTATCCAGATTTGGTCACACAAGGCTTAAACCAAAACCTACCAGAATGAACAGAAAGATTATAAACAAGTTTGCTTAAAACTCTAGTAGCTTAATTTAATGCCCAGAGAAGTATTTCTTTATTGACTCTTTACAACAGTTAAATGAGATTCTAGATCCACCTGAAATACAGCTATAAAGTGCCCTGGACATTTTTGTTTTGTGTGCATTAAGTAGCACATCTATTTAGATACTTATTTTCCTTAGTGTGAGAATCAAGGAAAAAAAATGCTTACCAAACTCTATAAAACAGTATGGCCTGACAGCAGTATTTGTCTTCATCATATTGTAGGTAGTGATGAATTCTTTCTGAAGCTCATCCAGGAAGCAGAAAGCCAGGACACTGGGATAATTTTCAGTGCACAACATCATATAGCTTACTCCTAGAGAACTTATGAAGCTATAAATGAGACAGGAAATTCAAAATTTCAAATTTAAATCCAGGTAATTCACTGCTTCACTAGTCTAATCTCGTACTCTACACTCAGAGAAGCAAAACCTTCTCTGAGGTAGCAAAGGAATTAATGTTTACTAAAACACTCTAGAAGAAAAACTATTTACTTTTACCAATGTTTTGCTTTAACATCACATTGTACAATCATATGAGAAGCTGTGTTACATATACTTGCACGTATACACAAGTGTGTGTAAACTTAGGTACACACTCCTACACACATGGAACAACATAAAGCATTTGGGATACAGAAACAAAGCAGGTTTGTCCCATTATAGCTTTATGTTCATCTCAAATGTAGAATATGTGATCTAGTGTATCCCACAAATGCAAAAATTTATCTTCAAACCAGGTGAGAGGACAGTTGGTTCATTCTAAAATATGCGAGAAAAATAAGTTCCATAGAATACAGTATTCATCATTCTCCAAAGACGGTTGCAGAGATGACCATTGATGTCAAATATGAAATTAGCAAGGGAAGGTTTTCAGTAAACATAATCCAGGCAATTCATTAAACAGAATTTGTGTTTTCATGACACATTCAAATTTCTTCACAATCTTGAAGGATAACTTACACTATTAAAAGTAATCAAAGACAAAAGTAATACAAACCAGCTTGACTAAGTCTTATGTCTCGTTCTTAAGAGGCTATTTTAGGTTGATCAGTTTACAAATCAACTACAGATGAAGTTTGAAGAAGAAAAAAAACAACACAAAATATCAGCTAGAAAAATTTAGTCCATGGTGGGCTGGACCGGAAACTCACATATTCCAACTGGAGATGGAGAAGGCTGAGCACTTTCTAGGATCATTCAGGGGGCATACTCTCCACCACTGTAACCTTCTACATGTTTGCTAGGGGTTAGGATGAAATTGCTCACCTCATTTAAAATGGCATATCTAAATGAGAACCAAAATTTAGCTCAGCTCAAGTACAACTGAATTATCAACTACACACAGGTGCCCCTAGTTACCAATACTAGGAGAAACAGAAAAAGGTCCCATATAAAGCAAAATTCTGAGTAAGCAATAGATTCAAAGTATTATTTGAAAACACTCACACTGCAAACAAGTGAAAAAAGAGCATCTTCTAAATTATTACTCAATCGGTGTTGTCATGCAGGTACACTATCAAACTAGCTCAAAAGATTTAGGTATAGTTATGAAGAAAAGTCAAAACACAAAAGTGTGAAGAGAATACAAAAAGCATTGCTGTGGGTGGAGCAGGAAGATACAAAGTTTCCATTTGACCATTCAAGACTTCATTAGACACTGCCTTCACACTAGAAAAATAATTGCCACTCCTCCCGCTCCCTCACTCCCTGTGTACCACAGGAGGTAAGTACCGAGTTACACTTGGATTTCAGGGCATGTTTCCTCTGAAGTCAACAGAAATCCTGAAGGTACAATGAAAGGACCTACTTCCATAACATGCTAACCACAAGTTTTCAGAAATACTGGGTTATGAAAGTTATTTGGGTACTTCTGTAACTTGTGTAGACTAAAAAGAGAAAACAAGTGAATACTAGTCGAACCAGCACTAAAAAGAACAAGTCTAGTCATTTTCCTGTAAGAACCACCTTGAAATTTAAAGAAGTACTTCCATCTTTGTAAAAATACTGCCTATTTCAAACCACAACTTCCACCAAAGTTTGAGCAAGTTTCAGATATTTCTACAATTTCTCAGTCTGGGATTTCTGATATATAAATCTTAGTTTGACTAATCATTTCTAATTTGAACTGGTAACTTTTTAACCTACGGAGAGACCCAACCCAAGATGTCCTAAATAAATAAAAGAGAAGTCTTACTTTATATTATACTGCCCAGTTTTCAGCGTACATCTATCAGGGAGCTGAGAAAGTTTCTTTGAGAGCATTTTAAAATATTTTCTACATTCTTGCATTCCGGTGCTCTGGTCGTAATCAGTAGACGCAGACAGTGGGAGTCCATCCCTCACACGGACCACAGAGGCAGATAAAATCACAGACATTGCCAAGAGAGTTAACGATAACCTACAACAAAACATATATCAGAATGAATCAGAATTAAGGTAACAGCAAAAACAACAGAGTCAACTACGATTAATCAAACTTCCCAAGCTGGATACTGGGCTCAGGCTTAAAATTTGGCAGAGGAAGGACTTTCAACTGTAACTCAGATTAGAGTCCTATCTGAACAGGGACACAAAACGTAGTAGTTTACACGAACCACAAAGCAGCAACACATCTGGCATCAGTGTCACATTTTCAACTATTTTTTATCTGAACTGCCATAAATCATCACCTAGAGGTACCTGCAGAGATGAAACGCTATGTCTTAGCCTTAGTACTATTGTAGCTCTTGCACCCTTCAAGCTGTGAGTGGTCTTGTGCAGTGGGACAACAATTACAGTCTCAACAAACAAGGAAAACAGTTGCAGAGGAAAAACCTGTACCATGAGGGTATGCCAGATGGAAAACGTCTTGATCAAGCAGTAATATTAATGTGCTTTCAAGAAACTGTTACTGAGCGCATGCTTAAGTACCCTGGCAAACAGAGACTTACACAACCTATGTACTATCAAATAGTAAATCAAGACGAGGACAGGAATGTAATCCAGTTTGTTCAACTCAAAACAGAACTTCTTAAACATGGAATGTCTTTTTTCTTATCTGGGTCTCCACTTTCTTTCAATCTGCAAGACATGTCTATCAATATTACACAAATACTGAGCTGCTTGCAACAGTGCTTGTGACGGTCCTGGTTTTGGCTGGGTTAGAGTTAATTTTCCTCATGGTAGCCAGCACAGGGTTATGTTTTTGATTTGTGCTGAAAACAGTGCTGATAATACAGAGTTGTTTTCACTATCGCTGAGCAGTGCTTACATAGAGTCAAAGCCTTTTCTGCTTCTCAGCCCACCCCACCAGAGAGTAGACTGGGAGTGCACAAGAAGTCGGGAGGGGACACAGCCGGGACAGCTGACCCCAAGTGACATGCCAGACCGTACCACAACATGCTCAGCATATAAAGCTGGGGGGCAAAGAAGGGAGAGGAGGACGTTTGGAGTGACGAGAGTTTATCTTCCTCTGGAGGTATCTAATTTTCAAAGCCTAATGATTAAAGCTTTGTGGAGTACAGTCACCAAAAAAATAAAAAGTTGGGAATTTAAACATTTCTCTATCAGAAGGAGAAAATTTAGAGCAGGCATTTAACAGTATAAACATATAGGCTGCACACAATATTTCAAGAAGGCAGATTTTTAAAACCTTAAAGTTCTTCAAACCTCACGTTAAATCCAAACATCCAGAAGTTTAGCAAGACAAGCATTGAAAGAAGGATTACTCACCTGCTAAGTATCAGTACACAAATTTGACTTCTTACAAGTGGGCGAACTGCTAGAATTTATATGAAGCCAAAAGCAAGCACTTCCTCAACTCTTCACACTGCTCTGCAGACTTCTACCACTTACTACACCTATCACTTAAGAGATTATGAAAAAAATAGACTTTTGCCTCCCTCAGATGATGCTCCTCAAGTCCCATACAATCGCAAACTGCAAAAGACAACAGATTTCTGAATACAGCTGAAATATGTTTTTGTGTGCAATACTGACATGTTTCCAGTACCTTTCAAACTATGACATTAAGGGTGATTTACAAGTCTTAGCAACACAAGAACTGTATTATGAAAAGTCAGGAAGCTAAATTTTCCCAAAATAGCACTGCCTCTTCATAAAAGAGAGGAAATAACTATTTTTTTCCCCCTCAACTCTCACATCCCCTATTTCCCACTGCCCAAAGATTATAGATACATCAGGATAACTACTGAATAATAATCAATATTCAGGTATTTACTTCTCAAAGAGAAAGAGGCATACAGCAATGGAAACACTGAAAAAGTGTTGTAATTTTCAATTTAAGAAATTCAGCTTCACCAGTAAACTTCAACCTGCTCTGAGATGTATCACATTAGCTAAATAAATTCCAAATTAAGACCCCTGTATTTTACTTGTATACCATACCACGCTTTCACCAAAATCATAACAGCAGCAGAAGCCACTGCACTCTGCTGAATACTTTTGGGCTTTTATCAGGTTTGCTTGTTATTGCAGCACTTCACCACAGAATTCCCTACTGTACAAAGCGCTTTGATCAGCTGGACACAACAAACAGAAGACAAAAGAACTCTAGGAGTTGCTCTAGATTAGCCTGCTGGAGTGAAGCACTCTAGAAATTAAACCTACAGTTCTAGAAATTTCTACCTATCTCTGAGTTCACATCCGTACTACCAGGAGGACAATTCACATGGAATGCACACGGCACCGGTTTTCTTAACTGTGCTGCTGACCATATAACCACGGCAGCAGCTCCAGAGCGTGACACAACTGCAGAGGAGCTTTACACTGTAATGGTTCTCTGACAGTAACCTCCTCTGCCACTTGGAACTCAATCCTGAAAGAGACTTCTGGGAGCTGTATCAATATAAACAAAAGAACAATGACGTGATAGCGACGTTTAAAATCCCCCTCATTAACTTACTTGCATAAAATGTAATTTCATGGATCTGCATTTCCTCTGATGAAGCAAGCAACTTCATTAGCACCTAACATGAGGCAAGGAACATAGCTCCATGTCCCGTTTCAGGCAAAGGTAGAGAAGAGGGCAGCGCTGCAGGAGAAACTCAGAAGCCTGTAGCCAGCTCTCAGAAGGAAAAATATTGTTCTCTTCACTTTTTAAATGATCTTGATGGTTAAAGTTCATGTTGAGCTATCTGATGAGATAAAAACAAACAGAAAAAGTTAATAAATGTGTTGACTGGCTAACAATATTCTTCAGCTCTTTTTGTGAGGCTTACTGGAAAGGCTTGAACACACATCTCAGGGAGATTACTCAAGAAGTAATCAAGTAAAAAGAAAATTAGAATAATAGAAATATTAAAATGCTTCTATATTCTTTATGTGAAATTGAGGAAGTCTTATCACTTCAGCTATTTAAAATGGAAAAATAGATTATCTGTCTGCACAGTACATCAGCAACTCGGGGTAATGCAACCTTTGACTCTGAACCCCACCATTCACCTCATATGCTAAATTTAATTAATCCATAATCTCCTCTGATCAAAAACCCAAACAATTCAGGAACATAATACAACAAAAGCACAGCTGTATTTCCAAAGCATTAGATTTTCGATATTCAATCTAAGAATAGCTGCTTTACTCCTACAGTTAAGGACAAAGAATGTAAATATCACTGATGACAGCATGTATGCACGGGCAACAGAAAAAGTAAAGGATAAAGACTCCTTGGAGGTATTTTTTCAATTTTTATGCCTATTCTTCATGTAAATAAATACTTGCATAAACCTAGAACAAAAACAGTTATTTTCTTCAAAATTCCCACTTACATTTAGAGAAATTAAGCTCTCTAACAGAAGATAAGCCTCATTAAAACCTGCCAGTTCTCTTAATGTACTATGAAATCACATCGTTTAAAAACTGTGTTTAGATGAAGTCTTAAGATCATCTGTCAGACAGGTTTTGTTACCATCATCCTAAAAACTCACCCAGTGAAAATATGTACTTCTTCCTCAGTGGAATCAGAAAGCTATGTAAAAAACAAAGCTAATAGATGAAAATCAGTTGCAAGATCACACATATGTAAAGAGATATGTAATACACAGACTGTAACAGAACATTCAGCCTTACTCGAAAATTTATTAATATAGAAAAATAGTTCACTAAATCTTCAAAATGAGTTACTTTATGAAGCTCTCCAAACAGTAAGGCTCTACAGAAGAAGCCAAGTGGTAAATTTGATACAGACTTATACAGGTAGAGATTGAAAAATGAACATTAAAGATTTGGTAGTGTTTTCAGAACTATCTTTAAGCGTCTGTTTTAAACATCTATTCAAAACAGGAGAGTAATTCACCACACCATTACAAATTTCACATGATTTCCTCCAAAATTCTCTATCTATCAAAAACCTAAAGATGACAAAAGGCTGCACTTTCACTACTAACGGTCCATAACTCCACTACAGGCACAAAGAAATGAACAGGCACTGGGTTAGCTATCTCATCTGATAACAGAAACGGGGACTATCAAATCCAATGGGCAGGGGTGAGGCTCATGGGTACCACGGATGGATTTTCCAAACCACGCAGTTAGCCAGTTGAACTGCTTGTCACAGGAGGCTGTCAATACTAAAGCGTTAAACGAATTCAAGAGGCAAGTGGAAAAAATCAGAGAGAAACTGCAAGGGTTATTAAAAGTAAACTCCACCCTTTGCTCAGCAAGATTCTGACCCTCGAACAATCACCAGCAGGGAGAGTAACCACGGAAGCATCACTCCATGCCTGTGCTATTCCTACATTTCATTGCGTGTATCTACTTCTGGTCCATCTTTACTGCCTTCCCCTTATACTGACACTTCACAGTCCTCCCTGCAGATGAGGACTGGGAGAACTCATGGAAAAGAGGAACATGGAGAAAGTTGGCTACAGATGGGCAACAGTCAACTGAAATGGTGCTTCCTCTGGTACTTAACCCTCCCTAAAGCTGTCCAATTTCTCATACACGTGTCAACCTCCACTGCTTTCACAAATAGGAATTATCACACGTGACGTCAGTTGCATTTCTTCCCATGAGCTGGAAATCTCAGATGACAGAAACCAGAGCCTGTTTTACCGCTTTATTTTTATTTGTGAAGATAAGATTCAATTATCATCTCATTTATTTTTGTGTTATGATGATACTTGATTCTGAGGCAGCAGCTAAAAAAGTCCTAGAAAGTGGTGTATGTTCCAGTCTTTGTAATGGATTGGTCTTCCAATTTGTGATCTGGCAGGAATTATTTTATACCCGACACCCTCTCATAACTTTTTTTTACAAGTAAGTGTTTGAGAGCGATCTGTGAATATGGCTTGCTTAGGACACTTCAATTTTTCAAAAGCAGTCTAGCTTCACAAAAATTGAAAGAGGTTAGTGTAATAGCAAACCTACTCTGCTGCACCTGCCGGCCTTCAGCAATAACTTAACTCAGGCATTTCTCGTCAGGCTGTCTGCTTGTTATGATTACATTCCACAAAATATAAAATTGGGAAGGCGTTGCAAGCTGCACACCTGCTTGACACAGAATGAAGATAGAGTTTCTGCACTAACTTCAAGTGTACATGATAGTGTTGGACCATTTATTTGCCTCACTTCTGGGAGTTGTGACAGCTGTATTTATGCAGGCAGGAGTCTTAATTTTTCCACTCTATAGCACACTTCAGAAATCCGTACTACAAACTAAAGCACTAGAGACAGACACAACAAACAAGGCCACTTTGACATCATCAGGTATGATCAGAGAAAGGAAATAATATTACAGCCCCAGCCTGCACAACCCTTCTCATAAAGCAGAGGAAAAACTGACCTTGGAAACAGAACTGAGAACCTGAAAAACTAAGGGAACCGGACAAGCTGCATCTTAAAAGCTTAGGAATTTGATCCTTCCATCTCCCCCCTACTTATACGGAGGCTCCTACAGGAGCTGCCTGCAATGGCAGCCTGGGCAGGAGGAGGTAACGCGGTTACCGACCTAACCGGGTTCACACCGCTTTACACGGCACAGCTTCACACAGAACCGGTGCTGCCTACACAGG